ATTTTGTTTTTCTCTACTAGCAGGATATGAGCTAATATCCTGCTAGTAGAGAACCAATCAGATTGCAGAATACCTCATATCCAGACCTTGTGTATATAATAACAACAAATATTCTCAATCAGTCACAACTGTGTCCACACCGATCTAAATGGTACTTGACATTTTTTGGTACACTACATTGTGTTTTTGGCTGTGCAGCTAAATTTGGTCCGCACTAAAATGTTTAAATCCAGCACGACTTTTATTAACATAGGCAAAGTTTGCAACCATTCATATAGTATTGCCTTTTATTTGGGACATCAGTGGGGCGTCTCTCAGATAACAAATCATGTTGTACAAAAATTATATGTTTTTGTTTAGATAATCACCGTGAGAATTGGTCATGCGAACTCTTCAATGCCCTCGTCTCCAGACTCATCATCTGACTCCTCTGGCTCGCCACCAACAGCTTCTGATGGACCGAATATTGAAGCTGAGCGCTGTTTACCTGGAGTGGTTAGTTAGTTAATGAAGTTTGTTCACCATAAAAGGCTTATTGCTCCATTTCTGAGAGGCTAACGTTTTGGCAATTGTTCGTATATTGCTCAAAACGTATAGATATTACTAAAAGTATTCTTTGTAAAAACTTTTACATGATCATAAGCTGCTAGAATATTTAAAGACTCAAAATTATTTCAACAAAACAAAGATTACGTTTGGGGTATGCTTAAAGCATGATTTCCATTTTGTTGTGGCTGTTGTGACCAAGACAAGGTGACAGGTGTAATATAATTACGTTATATCTCTGTAATCATATAAGACTGTTCTATAGACATCACACGCAAAAAGCAAGAGAGAAGCGGACTATTTTACGTCGCCAACCATGAGTTAGTGACAACAGCCGTTTAAGTATTTTTCTTATTATTCTGTTTCAGATTATAGCAACAAGAACGAAATTTGTTGCATCGTTTTTACAAATTGCAGAGTTTTCTATCCAGTTTAACATACCGGAATTACGCGAGGAGGTCTGGTGTCTCCTGGGGATTGTCCCAACAGGTGATATATAGCTTTTATGAAAAACTAAACTCAAGCAGGTAGAATAGACCTTATACATACTGACGTCACAAGGCTTGATGCCCGCGAGGAATGCTGGTCTTAGTAGTCATCACCCGGGAAAATTTCGATAGTGGCCATTTTGAATTGTTTAATTTTCCCGGGCGATCACTACTAAGACCAGCATTCCTCGCGGGCATCAAGCCTTGTGACGTCATTGTGCGTAATGTATATCAATGAACATAAATTACACTGTATAAAAAATAAAAACCGTTCAACATTTAGTTCTATCGAGTGCGATGCCCAAAATCTTTACCGATAAGAATTATAGTGATCCTGTTTTTTATTGGCCCTTTAAAAAAACCATGATCAACATTGGGCCATTGCTATTCACAACCTGAATCAAGTCTTGAACAATTTTGACCAGATTCAAAATCCGTTCCGTTTAATTGCTTGCAAATTGGATCATCTGCGGTACAATGAAGCATTGTTGGCACAATTGTTGGTTATAATTTCGCCTCAGTCGCATGTGAGAAGAGTGCTTCCAGTTTGACTCTGACAAACACTATTGGGCTTTTTCCCAGGTACTTCAGTTTTCTGTAGTAACACTAGACCAATTAGGAGATTTCGAACGGTCGGTGCCAGTGCAGGTAGAGGCGAGAACAGACAGCTGGCGTGTGAAGGATCGCTGTGAAGGGCATGCAATTACATGAAAAATTTAAGCAGAACTTCGCGAGCGAAAGCCTTGGCTTGAAACGTCGACGTTCTGCTTATATTTTTCCAAGTAGTTGTGTGTCGCAGCTGCATATCTATTAGAAGATTTTTCGTACTGGCACTACAGGAAGTACCGTTTAGAACTGATAGAGCTATCTCAAACTCAATAATTCATGTGTAAATTAGCCAACCGTATTGCTTTATTTTGCTCACATGATAATACTGGATACCTGGTGTAATATGTTGATCCCGTCCTTGGACCGGATCAAAATTAATTCAGTCCTTGGACTGGATCAAAATTAATTCAGTCCTTGGACTGGATCAAAATTAATTCAGTCCTTGGACTGCATCAAAATTAATTCAGTCCTTGGACTGGATCAAAATTAATTCAGTCCTAGGACTGCATCAAAATTAATTCACCTCACTTTAAGTAGTGATTTTTTCGTACGAGATGTCATTTCAAATCCTCCAATTCAGACTGGATTAGATTTCAAGTGCTCGCATTTTGATCCAGTCCTCGGCTTCGCCTCGGATTTGATCAAATTGCGCGGACTTGAAATCTAGGCCAGTCCTCATAGTCGGATTGAAATATTACATCCAAAGTTAGTTTGGTTTAGGTTTCCTCCTGTAGCAAGTATAGTAACTCGGCATAATTAGGGATTGTCCTTTAGAGCTGTTAGTTTAATTCAACCCCACACGCCATAACAATTTTTAAACAAAATTTTGTTTACAGACGGTTCGATGGCGGACAACATGAGAAAAGCATGCTCATACAAAGCAGAGAAAGAAGTTACTTCTGGTTCACAATTGCTTCAAGCATTTTTCAATTCCGCTTCGTCAGCACAAACTGTTTATAATCTCGAGGTATATATCGTAATGACAGTAATAATTTCATTCAATTTATTGTTGCAGTTGTAAGTTTAAAAACTTGCAGGACCTGCCAGTTGTATACTCGTATTTAAACCTTACTCCCCCTAATTATTTTCTCTTTGTGCGTATTAATAATGAGTGTTTATCAATGAAATGGTAAAAATATTTTCATGAGGTGAAAGATGGAATTCCAACAGTCCCAAACAATGTTTGAATGAATAATTAATACAATAATGGCATTCATTTAATCATTTTACTCAACATTATCGTAATATATGTACCCGCCATTTGATTTGAAAAATTGTGGATTTGCATTTAAGTAACCTTCCTCACATGGGCCATTATCCGCCATTTTTGGGGTACTATCTTTCCTCGTCAAAGAATCTAGACAAGACAATGTGAAAAAGTGACTTTTTCAAAATTAGAAGTGACTTAGAACTGTAAATTTACCATTATACACGCAACTACAGTGATAAAAAGTGCACTCTTAGACGTGGGAGAGACAGTACCCCCCCCCCCCAATGGCGAATAAACCGAGCGTGAGAAATGCTAATTCTATTGGCCTCATTATAGAATTAAATGAGCTACGATCAGGATACGATTAGGATTTTGACGAATATGTTTTTCCGTAATGCATTGTAAATTTTTTAACTTAACTTTAAAAAGATGGTTCGTATCCCGGAGTGTTGTTTTACACAAGATCTGTTACCCGTTATGGTGTTTTCAATTAATTTTCCAGCAAGTATATTTAGATTTTCAGTTTATGCAGTGAACATCAGTTTCTATATATCCTATTTTGTGCAGATTTTGTATTCACTACTGATGCCAGCTGGACAACTGTTTCGTGAAAGGGTTTCGGATTTTCAGGTTTGTGGATTGTTGAATTTTGTATGCAGCTGCATCAGTACCGAGATTGAATAAGTTTGAGTAATTTTTGTAATTATGTTGCTATTTTTAGATGGGGTTTTTCAAAAGTGGGGGCGTACAATGTGTACTTAATCTCATAACAAAAACTAATTTTCTTGAACTTGCTGACACCTGGACGAAGAGGTAACGATAATATTCCTGGGCACGTCTTTATTGGCTGTCAAATATTTCAGTTGTTGCACTCGGAAAATAAACAATCGAGAGGAATGGACTATACGGCATGTACAGTGGCAGTCACAATCATATTGGAACGGAAAGCCGCACAGCAAAAAATTAATCGTTTCGTAGCTTGGTTACTTAATGAGCATTCTTTTTCTATTTTAAATATTCCATTGAAAAAGCGTAAAAGTATTCCTCTTAATATGTTACAGGGTTAGTTTAATAAGTTGCAAGCCATGAATGTCGTGAATGACGACGGTTTTTGCATTGGCCTTTCCAGTCCATTCCTCTCAATTGTTTATGTGCAGAGATACCATTTATTATATAGCGATGTCATTTAATACGAAAGCACGTGTTGAAAAGCGAGCCAATACCCGGGTTTTTTTTATTATAAGGCAATATTTTTAGGCGTGGTTAGTGTGTTTCACCTTTTCTACTGGGATTCCTGGAGTGATATGATTATAATTTCGCCTCAGTCGCATATGAGAACAGTGCTTCTAGTTTGATTGTACCAAAGTAGCAAACCCACGTGCTCTAGTTTACTCCTGCAGCAACATTGGAATAACAAGGGCCAGTCTCAACTCATATAATCTTGAAGGGTGTGTGCCAGTGTAGATAGCGTCAAGAAAGCTGCCGAGGGATACAGCCACCTGAAAAATACAAGAAGAACTTTGCTCGAAACGTCGAAGTTCTCCTTGTATTTTTCAGGTAGTTGTATATCAATCCGCAGCTTTCCAACTCAACTCTGTAGATCAATGTTCAGAGTGTTGCACCGCAATCGTAGAGGCCGCAGGTTAGGTTGCGGGTTAGTGTGAACCGGAGTTTTTGCAATCTTGACAATGGAAGTGTTCCTAAAACATTCTACCAATTATTTTGCTCACACGAACCAACTTATTTGCATGATAACTTCTTTGAAAGCCTGGTAACTTCTTTGAAAGCCTGATAATTTCCCATATAATGGGTGATTCCAGCTGTAGATTAAATTTCGATCAAGGCAAGAAGAACGAAATCCAACACCACAGCTAAAAAGAGCGTCTTAGAATGAGTACAACTGCAAAGATTGGTTGCTCAATGTTGTAAAATGAAGAAAATCTAGCCCTGTGAAGTTGGCAAGTTTTGTATATAGCTGGAATCATCCATTGATAACTACCTGTATGAATGCACCAATCAATTTTGATTTTGGTGTAATTGACCAATCACAAGGAGACAGGAAGTGACCAGAAATGATCAAACACAGGAAGTTGTGGGTAATTGGTCAAATGTGTGTCAAATGAATTGGTAGAATATTTTAGGAACGCTTCCATTGGCACGACTGTAATATCGTGTTTATATTATTTTCTCGTCTAGGTCGGCGTACTTGACATTGATGAAGATTGCGAAGTTTGCTTTAACAACAGTGGCGTATGCTAAAGTGTATTTGGTTGCAGAGGCAATGAGACCAGAGAGCCGTTCACAGATTTCATCTGAAACACAAGAAGCTGCAGTTATATTACAACAAGCATTACAATGTATTCCTGATTTTATATTGGAATATGTGCTGAAAAATTATGCTTTATCCCTTGGACATCATAATGCTGAAGAAGTAAGTCCCGATGTATATAATTGTATTTCCTTTTTTGATATGCTTTTCAAATGTTTTCATTAATTGACAACTAAACTTGTGATAGCACTGTTCAAAAATGCCAGATATAAAAAGGGTTGATCAATCATAATTACCTATGCGACACTAGCGAAATCCATATACCCTGGTATAAATTACGATATTCCTGCTTCGTCCCCAGTCACTTGGCCAATAGAGATCAGTGGGAGCACAACGGGAGGACAATGACGACGGTGGCGTGGGGAATGATGGGAATCCATGGTCATGTAAATTTCATATCCCGCACACGAGCGAACGTGGAGTGATAATGGCGACTTTGATAGTCTGTGGAAGAGTCAGACGATTCTCTTCTTTCACTCGTTTTGTTTTCACCTCTTTGTTACAAAGAATTTTAATATCTGATGAAGTGCTGCTAATATCGTTTTCATGCTACAACAAGCGATCAAGCCAATCATAACACACTTGACAGTTGACACGTGGAAATTGTTTATGTCAGTCAGCCATCGTCATTTTCACGAGTCAGTAGAGAGACGGGATTACAGTACACTCTAAAGATGAAATTAAATCATAAATGTTAATTATTAAGTAATCCTTGGATCCTGATTTTGCTTTTTTCAAATATTCCTTTAAAGTGCGACAATATTGGTGCGACAAAAATTTGATTGTCATTATATGTTTAACAATGAAGTATACCTGATTGTATTTATGATACGAACCCAGTCCTAATGTGAAAAGAGTAAGTCAACGCGCTGCCGAAAGTCGTGAGTTTTCTCCGTGTACTCCGTGTTTCCTCCCACAGGGAAAGTTGACAGGGTGGGTTAGGTACATAGGTCTGGAGGCAGATCATTAATGAGGTATGGACTAATAGCGGCTGCTCAAGCGCCATTTGTAAGCTCACAGTCTACCTCGGTCTGCTTCACGTCAGTCCGGTTCTATCTATCTATTCATAATGTAACCAGTCACTGAAAAGCCCTGATAGGGAGTGTGCTGTGAAATACCTGTATCTGTATCTATCTGTGATTATTATACCACAAACATGGATGTTCTGATATCTAGACTTGTATTTCACTTGCAGATATCAGTTCATGTTCCTGACATGAATGTTGTGAAAGCAATTCAAAAAATTTCATGGACAGCGGCCGGCGGACTGATGGACTTACTTCATTGTTCACAAGAAGAAATACACAGAGCTTTTGAAAAGGTAATGTTATAATGTGTCTGCGGTATAATTTGCTATAACGAAAATTTCTTGTGAAGTGTTGATGGTACATTGCAGCGACTACGGATTCCTGCATTATACACTTCCCTGATTCGGGTGGCGCAATCGTCAGAGTAATGCCTTTCACCTCTGAGATCGTGGGTTCGATTTTCGCTACGGACTCATGTGAAAAGAGTCTGCCTCTGCCGAAAGTCGCGGGATTTCTCCGGGTGCTCTGGTTTCCCTCCCACAGGGAAAGTTAACAGGATATGTTAGGACAAACATAGTTAAGAAAGTAATATCACAATTGTTGTGAAGATAGATAGTCTAGGCTAGGTAGGTAATATTAAAATAAATATAAGCGTAGTATATACTAGATGTAATCCGTCACTGAAAAGCCCCGATGGGGAGTGAGCTGAATAATGTATGTATACAGTTTGTATGTATTATTTCGCTTCAGTTGCATGTGACAAGAATATTTTCAGTACAGAGTTCAATAAAATTTTGAAAACCTGGTCTATATTGAACACTGTTTCAGCATGTCACTACCAAACAGGCAGGTTATCTCCATAGATATCTTATATACACTAGATAGCGCATCTCCTTTAGTAAAATTGAAGCCAAGAATATTCCAGCGGTTACCCCTATTTGAATAGATGGCGGCCATGTTGAAGTTTCCCACTCGCTAATAAACGCTTAAAAAACAACAATAACTTTCATCATTTGAATAGTTTGAAAATGTATTTGGAATAGGTTTAACTTAATGTTTAAGTTCCCTGGTTAAGAAATAGAAAACATACGAGTCTTCTCATTTCATGGGAATATCCTGAGTCTGCAATCACGGCTTCAATTTTTGAATTGCAAAATAATTAGATGCACTATCTAGTGTATATATAAGATATCTATGGT